ACGATCAATATTGGATGAGGGTCATAATATATACCTATATATAAGTACTGAACAAACTGATGTCAGGTGTTACTGAGGACATTACCAGTCACATGACTAGCTGGACACGCTCCAGCGAACATAAATATACATGTATTACACATAGTTTGTTATTTTTCATAGGATGCGGTTGGGGATTTTACAGAGTTGGTTGACAGAACTATAACTGTACCTTCAGACTCCCCCTATGTACAGTGTCAGTCTACATTAGTGTGTTACCACAAGCCATACACTAATGAAATATATAGTACAGTCTTTCAAATGTAAATAAAATTTACATATCAATGGTTGAATCAACAATATGTGTCATACAGCGTGTGCCTAAGTGGCTCTTCCATTGTACTTATTATCTGTACCGTTATATGCTAAACAAGCGTCATATTTCTTTATCATAAATCGGTATTATATTTCGTCACATCGGAAGTAACTGACACTTACGGTACCACCTATATCTTGGTAACTCAAGGACGTCAGCACGATAAGCACCCAATGACCCCAAGTGCTTGAATAATCAGCAGGAAGCCCTCCGTGTATCAAAACAATAACCACAAATTCTGGCTAATATTTTCTTTTGACAAAGTTGTGTAAATTCTAATATAATGTATGAACTGAAAAAGATACTTGTGGAATATTCTTTTGTTAAGTAATAAGCACATTTTAAAAATTCAGAGAAGATTGTTTTTTTCTTACACTTTCATTTCAAAAAAAGAAAAAAAGAAGAAAATGAATTTGAGGGAAAATTTTTTATGCAAATGTATGAAAGTATTTTGTAACATATTTCCATATTTGGTAAAGACAAAGAGAAAATGAATTACTCAATCACCAAAAAGAAATATGTCATGATTAAATCCAATAGTACTGATCTCTCAACTGAACCCCTGATACACCTACATTATGATTAAGAATATCTGGGCAGGTATATTAGACAGGTATGTATGGACATGGATGAAGCAATCAGACTGCTGACTCCGTTAACGGACATTTTTAGTGAAGCATAACACACCTTATTTCATATCTCTGACACATCCGAAGCAGGGTCAAGAACTGGTAAAGAATTACAATTATTTTACAGGTGAAGATAAGAATTCTGAAATAAAGAGTTACATTAAAACAGAAATTAGGACTTGGTTTGGTGTGGAGAGAACAACGTTAAGATATGGCTTTCTAAAGGAGAGAATGACATTAGGACCTGGCCATATTAGGGAGAGAATGATATCAAGACCTGGCCATATTAGGGAGAGAATGATATCAGGTCATGACCTTTGTAAGGGAGAAAATGACATCAGGATCAGGTCTTGTTAGGGAGAAATTGACATTAAAATATGGTCTTCTAGCAGAGAAACTGACATCAGGACCTGACCTTGTAATAACATTCAGATATGGCATTGTAAAGGAGAGAATGACATCGGGACGTCACCTTATAAGGCAGAGAGCGACATTATGATATGGCCTTCTAGGGGAGAGACTGACATCAGGACCTGGCCTTGTAAAGAAGAAAACAAGTGTGATAAACATCACAGATCAGATATCACATGTTAGGTGTTCTTATCATTTCAGTCAACTCTGATCTCATTAATAACAGGTCTGAAGGGAGACATATATAGGGGTACCTGCGTGAATAACTTAGACTGGTAATTACAGGTAACAAGGGATACAGGACACATCACAGGTATACCAAATATTTCCACCTGTAATTTGAACCCTCCTCCAGCTTTTATTCCTGACCCGAGCCCTTGTCTGTCCCTTGGTGCTATACATCCCACTGTATTCAACTCGAGACAAGCTTCCGTTCTGTAGGCACCCACATCTACTTCTCCACATCAATTTTCACCTGACCGTAACAATCCTATTTACTGTACCTATCTAGTCATAATAGTGTTTCCAGAAAACCCACATCATATTTAGACATGTTATTTACACTACCTACCTGTCATGACAAGGCATTTATATTTATTTGTACACAAACAAAGACCAAACACACACCATGTCAAGTAGGTACATCTACTCTGAGACAGCCCACAACATTAACCTTCTTTGTACTGTTACATAGAGCAGGCAGCGTGTCATACCTTCCTCACTTCTATCACACTATTAATCAAATACCACACTGTCAGGTGTAAATTTGATCCATTAACCTTCTGTACAGTAACAAAAAATTCATTTCATTTGTTGCACCTGCCTGTTTAAATATATACACATTAGACATGTAGTAAGTGCAGTGCCATCTAGCCTATCTACATGTCCACTACCTATAAAACTACTGTTGCCAATAAAGTCAGTCCTATCTGACCTTGATTGCCTATAAAAGGTCCTACCCTACCGATGTGTCCCCCTCGCCAGAGAATCGACGTACGACGATTGGACTCTGCCCGGCGACGGGCAGAGTTAGGGAGACGAAAAACTTTCATCATCATCATCGATGTGTCCCCCATGATATCTGGTATAGTGTTGATTATATGTTGAACCATCAATTGATATGTGAGAAATTTGTAACATTTTATCATCCCACAAACACTCTCAATAAACAATGTTATAACCACAGACACTAACCCTCTGTAGTAAGTACCACATATATACATGTATGTTTGATCAAGTATAACACTAATTAGGTTTGAAAAAGAAAATGACTTCTCACCTGCTCAGGAAAATTTCTCCCTAATCCACAGACACATATAAACTGTAATGTGTTATACAGTCAACTCCATGGTGTGTTTCATTTTCAGTAGAATTTACAGTTTGTATTACACACAGCGTCCTAACTACAGCCTCCAATAGACAGGAATGAATGCAGCCTACAGTAGCTTATTCCACAGCTCATGTATGTAAAGTACAGTATCGTAATCTCTACAACTTATATCTCACAGAGGAATACTTTTCAGAATATTCTTATTAAACTTTATCATTTAAACTGTGATAAGTGGAAAACCCCTACTACAGTCAATGACTCACACTTATTTCTTACATCTGAATTACTTACAGAAACAAGAAAACACTTATGATAACAACAAGATACTATAAGATTATGCAATCGTTTAATTCCCATCATTTTTACACTGGTACTTCATATCATTTTAAGATTGCACCTACTCCATTCCCGTCATACTCTAAATCGGCAGTCATATTATTTTAGTTCCCGTCACGCTCTAAATTGGCAGTACACATCATTTTAGTTCCCATCATGCTCTAAATCGGCAGTACACATTATTTTAGTTCCCATCATACTCTAAATCGGCAGTACACATCATTTTAGTTCCCATCATGCTCTAAATCGGCAGTACACATCATTTTAGTTCCCATCATGCTCTAAATCGGCAGTACACATCATTTTAGTTCCCATCATACTCTAAATCGGCAGTACACATCATTTTAGTTCCCATCATGCTCTAAATCGGCAGTACACATCATTTTAGTTCCCATCATGCTCTAAATCGGCAGTACACATCATTTTAGTTCCCATCATGCTCTAAATCGGCAGTACACATCATTTTAGTTCCCATCATACTCTTTGGTAATCATACATGTTATCTTACTTCAGCATATGGAACATGTAACTTACTTATATTATTCAAAATATTCAATTAAACATTGTTTCTTGGATCAATGAAATGTGCCTAATATGGTTACTTACATATGTCCTGTTCCTGGCAGAAGGTATCACACTGTTAGCTTTCAGACAAATTATTCAATAAATTGCAAAAACATGCCAAGAATATAACATTATTGACTAATAATGAAATGAAAACTAATAAAGAGAATTTAAAAAATGAAAACAAAAACTAGCTGCAAATAATATGTGTAATTCTCATGCATCAGAATGGTAACCATAGAGACATGCAACAGTGATGATGTAACTAGCGGGCATAAGGCAATACACAAGTCTCAAGGCAGTGGGAGAGAAGCTATGGAAATGATAAAAATTTTATGAATTTCATTGACAGAAGTGTGGAGAAGAACAGATTTACAAAGGGCACCCTAACTCTAGCAAGTTCTCATATAGTTTTATAGCACTGAATGCCTACGAGACAATCACATGTCAGTGTTAACACTTCTCACAAGCATCCTCATCAGACACTACACACGGGCAAATTAAAGTGTACAGGCATGATGTCATAACATCTCTAGATGGTTCCCAGCTTTAAATGTGTATAGTTCTCTAACATTGTACTTTTCAACCCTCGTCTAAATTAATATTCACTAACTGTGCCATTCTTAAGTATAAACTGTTGGTATAGCTGTGCCAGGACAACACTGAAACAGTGTAGGCAGGAAACTGTATATTATAGATAACACATTTCAATACACCATATTATAAAATTTTACTTTTCTGATTTTGAAATCTACATAGGCTGAGCTGTACAGTATAATATTAAGTTGATAATGGGTGGAGATATAATACAATTACAAAATAAGTGGATACACTTACACAATACAAGCACATGCATTTCATGTTTGTTTCACTACTGCGACCACAACAACATCACAACACGGATATCAGTCACATTGGGTGGGGAGCTAGCCAGTCATTGGATTGAAGGATTGTCAGATATGTTGACAAGACTTGTACAATATCGGGGAAATATTGGGAAAGGGAAAGGGAAACTGAAATTTCTTTTCAAGGGAGAAACATAGAAATACACAGTGATGTAAATAATTGATAAACTTCCTCAATACCACTGCTAATTATATATATCTGGTATCTAACATTTAGCATTATAACAGATGTTATTGGCAAAACAGAATATTTAAAGCAGAAATTGTGAATTGATCCAGGCTTATGTAATAAAATGGAGGGTTGGGAGATTTACATAATGATGAGGATCTTTTCTGAAAAAGTGCAATGCGTGCATGTACAGTGACGCAGACAAGAACATGAAGAGGCAACAGTAAACAGGAGAAGGATGACGTAAGCTCTAACCATTACAGGACAGTAAGATTTCTAGGAAAATTGGAGAATTGCGTACCAGGTGTGGATGTTGTCTTCATTAAGAACTGCACAGTCACAAGGGCTACAGGGCAAAAAACAGGTTAATGTGGTGACATGATGATATGATAGGACAATGATATCTTCATCCCAACACTGAGTGTCATGTGATTAGGCCTAATTAAACATTCTGATAATTCTATCTGGAGTGAATAATAAATTCGTCTGTGTGATTATACGAATAAGGAAATATAAAAAATTCAAAACAAAAATAAAACTGGGATTATAGTTGAATGATATATTTCAAACCTGTAGACACAAATGTTGAATAATGAAAACAATTCTGAAGATTAAAGATTCAATTTTTAATAAACAAGGGGAATAACTCTAAAATGAATTGGGTATCTGAGTTCCTGACATTACATCTGGAAAAGGTTAGTGAATCAGTCCAGAAGTCAAAAATAAACATCTGTAGACCATTATTGTTGGGAGATCTTCTTTAAGGAAGCTATATACACAAAGTTCTTGGATCAACCTTATTGTAACATCAAATACTCCTATACAGGCTGAGAACCTAATGATGGCCTCCCCTTACAAAACACAATATCAGTCACAAGCGAATAAACCATGAATGAAGGAATGGTGAAATCAAACAATCGTACTGTTTGAAAAAAATTGTTTGATGCCAAGAAATCTTGAAGTAATTTCTAAAATCTGTTGGAAGTAATGCAGCCCAGGTCAGCCTGGACTGGTTTAAAGGAGGCAGATTCAGAACTGGCTTAAACTGCCACAGATGATAACTATTAGCCAACAATTGGTTTATTTGAGGATAGGTCTAAGTGGCTTGTGGCATTCTTATGATGATAACATGTTACATATTTAGCTTTACATGAAAGGGAAAATGAGTTACCATTATGTAATGTTAGACAGTTATAATTGTTCTGTATCAGGGGGGTGTGCTCTGGTGAATTGTGGGTAGTGGGCTCAACAAACACACTACACCTGTAACATGTATCAGACAAGAAATACACTAAAATACACTAACATATTTCTGTTTTCATTCATGCATAACTCCATATGTAATCAATTGAAATACAGTGTACATGTGGTACAGTATACTGTTCAGGAAATATTTCATATTTATGGTAAGAAGAATGACAGTACAAAAATAGGTTTCAAATCAGAATTATTTGATCGAGGATAGTGAGGTTCACAAATTGTGACCTTCAGTATTTCAGTAATGTCATGACCAAACATAAACATACTATATAAGAATGGGTATGTTTGCATACAGATTTGTGTATACTTTACATATAGAATTCAGGATCAAAGTTATTGGTTTAAGGATCAAACACATCCACTTCTTTATTCCTCCAATACTGAAGAGTTTTATAAGTAGAATGATAGAAATTTAAGGTGCAACCTAGAGAGTTGTAGATTTAAAACATTCATGACTATACATTAGATTTTTTGTAAAAATAGGGAACTGAGATTTATAGATTTTAACATAAAGACAAGTCAAGAGGAAATAGAGAGAGTAAAACAGGATCATTCAAATCTATATTGTACGTCTTGTATATGTTCTACAAAAGCAGTTTTATAATAAAAGTATAAAAGACAACTGTGGCTTCAGTCACTAGATAATACATACCAGGTAAAGATATGTAATATCTGTAGTTAATGGAGCTTGAGTACAAGACACCTGATGCTAAATTCATAGATTCTTTGATTAGGGACAAAATCCATCTTGTTCAATATAACTTTTTCTTGGTCTATGATACTATTGATAACTCATTCTTTATTTGAAAAATCTCTTTTATTTAGACTATTAAGTGTTCTGTCTGTAGAAGGCATAGTTTAGCAAGGGGAGGTAATTCTGCCTAACTGCCAAGGAAGTGCCTATCAAATTCTATTTACTCCTCCTTGACATGTTTATAATCATTACAGCACACAGAAGGTATTAATGACCTCTTCCAGACCCAGGAAATGTCAGAAGGTCTGACTTTGGTGTTAGGGACCAGAAAGGAAGACCAGGGAGCGTGAGAAACTCCAGAGACCCCAGTAATCTTTATTTCATCATGTCCTTTCCAAAAATATAACCCTACACAGGTGGACCTTTTCAAAAGTGAAAGAAAATGAATCTCTCTTTGAGTGACCTTGACCCGAGACCTATTGATTCTCTATTACATGGAAGCAACATTTCCATAGTAAATGATTTTGGTGATCCAAGGTAACAAGGAGCTATTAGGAGACTAATGATAAGGTCACATGTTAATAGTGATTTACACCAAATATGGTAACCATTCTCTCAGACAAACTACATCCTGTCCACGTTGATAGCCTCAGAGTCTGGTTTATACTCTCTGATCAATCATGATCTACATGTTTTCTAAAGCTTTACCCTAGCAAACACCACAATAAAAAGGCTTTCTCTCTTTCAATCTTGATCCTTAAACCTTGCAATTTGGTGTGGAGATGTGCTTTAGATATTCCAACCAGGCTTAGAGCCCCGCTGTAGCGTTCAGGTCAGAACTAACTTTCCATTTATAAGCCATATATTACAGATTGACAGTGAAGTTCACGATGATCTTACGGATAAGTCTATAATGATGATTGGTGGAATAGACATTAACTGTCATTAGTGCAGGAGTACCCTGGTGATATTAGTCCACAGGTCCAACATAGGGATACACATTCAAATGAAAGGATTTCAAAGTTTATAATCACTTTTTCCCGATTTTATTTCAAGAGATTCAGAATTTTTTTTCCTACTGAAATTACTTACCTTTCCTACTGGGTAAATAAACCTAGCAAAGCCAAGTCAATGGGAGAGAGTTTGTGGAGCAAGCCAACGTTTTGGAAGGACTGAGTGTTAACAGAAGGTATAGAGTGGAGAATTCAGGTTTTGTATCATCCCCAAAAAAAAAACCAAACAAATTGGTTTCCAAGAAAAACCATAATCACTGGTGATGGGGGTGAAAGGATCGCTGGATTATGGAACCCGATGTGTAGATATCATTTGTATAACCTGGTATTAGAAGCACTCTGCACTTTTAATTTGCCTTTTACATAGAAAATATTAGCGCTCAAAACAAGAAAGCTACATTCATCATACTGAGCTACATTGTGTGCTTTCCCTTAGCTTCATGATTTGAATAATCATTTTTACTTAATGTGTACAGACAAGTACAAGTCAATTGTTACTTAATAAGTTTGAGCCACAATTTGATACAAGAAATATTTTGTAAGTGAGAAAATAGATATACAGAGTCGATATAAAACAGACTGTGCATATTAGATTTCAAGATGCAACTTTAACATGTGATTAAAGGAGATGATCAGATGACAAGAGTAGACATGCAGAGGTTGTCACACACCAAACAGATGTCCAAACATTATCATGAAAAAAGGTGAAAAGACAAAAATTATGTTCAAATTGCAAACCAAAAGAAAAGAAGCAAGCAAATCAGGTGCAACAAAAATCCAGGGGAGCTACTCACAAGCTATGATGGTTTTGCGGCGGAGGTGTTTCAAATGGAGGTTGTTGGCGATTACGCTTTCTGGTAAGACGTCCCAAGCTCATTGTCCTTTTCAAGGAACCCACAATTGAACCGTTGCTAAATTGAGATAAAAACACAACAAAAATGAAGGAAAATACTAAAAATAAGCAGCAAAAATATAAATAAAAAAACCATTCAGCCCACAGGTAAGCACATACTTAAAAGGTTGGTTACCATGACAACAAAGATGATGTTACCATGACAACAAAGATGATGTAAGTTGATGAAGGCTAAAAAAACATCTAAGCAAAATCCTCAAGCAATCTTAGAACTAAAGTGTCTGTAAGGTTCCTGTTGACTGCTGTATACCTGTAAATAAATTTGTTATAAATCCATTTTTTTGTGTCAGACATGCAATACTGACAGTGAACCTATGGTGACACATTTCTCTATAACTACTATGTTAAGCCAGTATCATACCCTGGTGTTGTTTGATAGTAAGTACCTACGAAGACATGATAGTGGAGCAGTAGACACAGTATCTAGTGTGAAGCTGTCATGTTGTCAGGCAAATCTGTAATACCCCAGCCCTATAATGTACCTCAACAGGATAACAACACCACATCCCATATCCTGTCCTTACCAGGCAAGTAATGCCCAAACAATGTAGAGACCTAAATGTGTCAAATTCTCCATTTTCTTTACGATATAAGCTGTTAAGTAATTTCAACAAATACTACCATAGTTACAGGATCTCTGCTGTTATCTTTAATAGACAAACTGTTAAATATTTAAACAGGTGACCTTTATTCATGGTCATAAGCTTTACCATTCTCCAATGTTTTTTTGGTCAAATGTGGTACCTTATGTAATGATTGACATGTACCCAATATCATTTCAAAACCAGATGCACATATCTAGTCAAGGAGCCTGACCTATATATAAAAAATCCATCACTTTGACCTATATCAAAAGTCAATGACAATGACCTGTAATATAACTGTATCGCTGGAAATTGAGGGGATTTTTTTGGGGTAGGGGGTTGGGGGGGGGGGGGGGCATATTCCAACTGTTTTATCAAACTTAGACATAGTGATAGATTTTTTAGTAGTTTTCTAAGAAGTCTTGAAATGGTGATGTTGTGTATCAGTACATACATGGCTGTTACAAGTATCTGTACCAGACACAAAGAGACCAGGAACGTGAACCACAGTGTGAGAAACACTTGTTACACATTGCTGGTGCATGTGTAAAATAAGCCGACCAGCAAATATGCTTTTCAACAGAAAGAATGTACAAGTGTCCTTTAAGTGTCTCTGACCTTAAAAGTTCACCCTAATATCATTTTACATTCAAATCTACAACTAGGAAATCTAATACCAGCAATGCAATATTTTTTCTTCATTTATTTAAAAAACTGACCACATTTATCCACATCAATGTCATCCTTTTGAAGGTCAAACAAGAGGGACTTAAATTTCAGTCTCTAATGATTCCCAGGATGAATGTTGAACTTCTGATGACCCTGAAAGGGCCCTAGCCACACCAGGGTAAAGGCCACTAATATAACTAACTCCCCCCCAAAATATCAGTATCAAATGGAAGCTTGGCTGAGGGGGAGGTGGTGGCCCTGCAGGCTGTATAAGACAGGGATGCATGGGGATGAAGAGTTTGAGAAGAGAGAGATGTCCAGGAATGAGGAATGCAGATAGAAGAATATAGAGGGAAATAATGTTGGCAAAACAAAGTTATAGACAGAAATAATGTATAGAATTCCTGATAAAGTCACCCATCACCAGACTGCCATAGCTACAGCTTATCAACGAAGTCTCGTGAACCACATCAAAACATCACCAATCCTGCTGTTATTTAAACATAGTCATGCTCCCACTAATTTAAAATCCACTTCAAACTTCCATCACAAAGTGAAATGGAATGACATTTTCAGGTTTTTTTCCTCCATGGTTTCAATAAGATTTATCCTGTAGTTGATGCCATACTCCATCTTCTTCCCATTTTTTTGACTTCAGGTTGTGGAATATTTCAATTATGTCAAAACTCTTGTTTGTTTTTCACAAACAACATGTGTAACTGCCTATTACATTCCTGCTGGAATTCAGTCATTATTGATATCACTCTATCAGCACCTTTTCAGGGACACTCATGGGAAATCACCACATGAAAGAATAAGGCTTTATATCATACATACATACTTATATCAAACTGGGATAAAATTATGATAGGTAATTCATACTTATATCAAACCGGGGTAAAATTATGATAGGTAATTCAAATCTGGAACCTTCAGATAAACAACATCTCTTTATATAATACATTATATTAATTTGTTCTGATAGGACACGAGTCTAAAATTGTCCACCTTTATTTATTGTGTTACAGTGTTAAAAAAATATGTATCCACTAATATTTCCTAATTATAGATAAGTGCATATGGCTATACATGATACAGAAAGAAAATAGTAATAAACTGGAATAGGATTTATTGTCAAACTGACCGGATGAGGACGTTGGTACTGTATATAAAATACAATAATGGGGTGGCTGTTGTTGGTATTGTTTATAAAACACAATAATGGGGTGGCTGTGACTGTTTCCGAAGTCCATACTATATATAGGATACAATCAATCTAAGAACTGGTGGTTGCCAATTTAGCGGTTATGGAAATATGAATCTGTCATTTTCAATATGATGATAAATTAATCACAAGATTATACACTGATATTTATGTATCAGAAATAAGTTAAATGTAAAATAAAAAATCTTTGCTCATCCTCTAATTATAAACACTACCTGACCATTACAAGATTCCAAGAAATGTTTCACTCATTTTTCTACACATCTCCACACCTAAATTATATTTACCTTAATTTTCTGGGTATATACTCACAAATCATACCTATTACTATATATAGACAGTGACCCCAATCATTTCTTTATTTTCGGTATGTGTTTTAATCACTAAACACATCTGAAACTACAGCATTCTTTATCTATATTTACACACAGAGATGTTAAACTGACAACCTACCTGTTTGTAAACAACAATACTATTGACCACTCTTAACAAACTGCATCAAGTTGATCTGTCCAGTCTCTATTCCAACTATAATCCATGGAACCATTTTCTCTGAGGAAATCACAATGTAAAACACGACCTAGAGTTACTGCGAGGTAAAACACTCGTGGAGTTAAGCCACAGTGAAACACTGAAGTAAGCTGTGACACGGTGCTGCTGTGTGTAAACACCAGAGGATCAGAGGTGGCCAGCTACTATCGGCTAGTCTCTAACATCAAACAGCCTGACAGGCATACCTGTCCGTCCTGACAGGTGAGCCACAGGTAAATAAAGAACAACAATGAGGACCTCATATATAACACAAACTTAAAACAAATGGAAGACTGCAATGATTTGTCATTATCAGGTAACACTTGGTTTCCTTCACCTGGCCCAGCACAGGTATGTATATATATATCTATGTTTAGATCTATATACACCCCAGATCAATACATGCCTGTCTACAGTTAGAAGTATCTCATCACCTGCCTATCACACACTACAAATCATATTCAAATCTTTATTATCATCACACACTACAAATCAAATATGATATTTTTGAATTTAATTGCTACTATCATAGACAGCAATCTCTTTATCATATCTGAAATCTTTTAATTTGGTAATTATCACATCTGATGATGTAAGATTCATAATCTTCCTTAGAAAGATATTTTTTATTAGTATTTCAGAGTAATTTAAGTGTAAACCTGAAATGGAACTGAGGACACAACAAATCCATGCTGCCAGTTAATTGGAGGGTGTGGTTCCCCAGAAACGTCTGGATCTATTCCAGCTGCCCTTTTTTATGTTAGTAAAAATTGTTGGTCCTCCTTGGCCCCAGGTCAAGCCCTCTTTCTCTTTGTAATCTACACCCTATGATTAATACTACAGACCCTATCTATGTAGGTCAGTCTCTGTTCTCCAGGGACATTGTTTCATGTTTGGCTGGAGCCACCCTCTGTGATCAACAGTGCAACATTTTCAACTTCAAAATATTTGAAGAGTTTTTTTTTCTTTCGCCATTCAAAGTCTAAATTCCAAAAGATCATTGACAAAGGAAAGCTGAAAGTAAAGATGACATCACAAGTGCTTTAAGTACTAAGTATACTTTTCTTTAAACATTGACAATCAGAGTGCATCTTATAGATATCTGATTTATTTGCACTCCATCACTCCTCTTGAGTGTACAACTGTAGAAGTTTGTTTATATTTCTAGTGAAAACATTTCCTGACCTGTACTGCCTGCCAGTTCACTATCAGAATGATGCCCCTCCACCTCTCCCAATGCTTGTACCTCCTCTAGCTTGGTTATCACAGACAAGACTGTAGACGTGGCCAGAATACCAAACTTTTATCAGGCCAATGTACCCAGTAACAGGTTGTTGTCTGGGTGTGATACACATCCCTATACAAGATCAGCATGCCATGCTCAACTAATTACAACAGGGAGAAACAGTGATAATCTTCAACAACACAGCTCCACATTAGCTGTTTACATAGCCCGCTACAAGCCTGAACCAAACTTGACCTTTAGAAAACAAACCAATGACCATACAGGGGAGGGGTTTATAGTAAAATTATAGGTCTAAAATTGACTGACATTGTCACTTTATCTGACAATTTCATTATTTAAGTAATTGTGTACCATCATACTACCAATTTTGAATATCCTGAATACAGGTGATCAGAAATACGAGTCCATCATATCATCGGTACATATATACCTGTATATATTGATACCTTCTTTTATGGATTTTTGGGAGAAAGACCTAGAATTAAGTTGGCGAAACCTAGCTGGTGCTATGAAGTCTAGATAAAACAGAAAATATAGGTCACAGTGACCTGTCTTTGAAATATTGGTAGTGTAGCCCTTAAGATATGTCAGAAGTTTGATGCCTTGACCAACGTTGAGCTTTATATTAATAGTCCACCTTTTATGTAATGAGATAAGCTTCTCAACAACAACATTTGACCAGTATATGTCATTCAATAAGTTTATAAAACATTAAAAAATAAACATGTTTAACATAGTTTCCA